AGAGAGGGGGGGAGAGAGAGAGTGAGAGAGAGAGAGAGAAACAGACAGAGAGAGAGAGAGAGAGAAAGTTAATGACGAGACGTTTATGATTTGACCAGGTACTCACAGTTAACGCAAGTCACTTGATCATCGCTGGGTAGCAAGCAGTTGGCCAGACCATTGGCGTAAGTGAAGAGGAAGCCATCCGGGCAACTCATGGGAAAAGATTGCTGGTCGCCATTACAGGCGTAGAAAAGCTGGCAATAGTTTTCGTGAGCCAACAGGATGCTACCGCCTTCGACATTGTCAGCATTGCAAGCTGAAAAAAAAGGAGAATAGAAAGAAAAAAAAATGACCAAAACAAAAAAATAAATTAAAAAAATTAAAGTAATTGTAGCTGCTTTACCCCCCACAAAGACACAGTTTAGGTTATTTACAGAGCGAGCAGCTTTGGTGCTGCTTCAATTTGCAACCTGAGAAGAGGTGAAAAAAGAAAAAAAAAAAAGAAAAAAAAGAGAAAAAGAAAAAATATATAATTGTCCATGTTTTAACTCCATATTGACTCAGTTTAGGTAATTTACAAAGCTAGCAGTTCCCACACGGCTTATCAAGGAGAGGGCCAATTATTGCGCCTAAGAGGGACACGCGGCTCTAATGTACGGGGACACTCGATACAAATTAATTCTTCTAGAACTAGAATTTGGATTTGTGTGATCTGCATATGACGTCGAAGCACGACAGATGCCGGCACAAGTCAAGAAGTCAAGAAGGAATTTTAGGTTGTGTGTGTTTGTTTTTTTTCACCTTAAGTTATGAATACAAAATCACAAAACTAAGTAATATTATGTCCATTACTTGTCAGCTCGAAAAAAAGGAAACATTTTAAACGTTTTTCTTTCACAGTAGAAAACAAATAGTAGTGTTGTTGAGGGTAGGTGTTAAAACTATACCATTTCACCTTTTTGCCTTCAATATTTCCTTTCTACGTTATTAAAGTGGATTATCCTGATAAACAGAGACATCCTACCCACCTGGCCTCTCTCCGGGAATAAATGCTGCGGACACAGCCACGCATGCTGCAAGAATAAGGATCTTCATGTCGAAAACTTCAGCAAATCTGAAACGAGAAAATAAATCATAACAATAACAACAACAACAACAACAACAACAACAACAACAAAATGACGACGACGACATCAACAACAACGACAACGACAACAACAACAATAGCGACAACAACAACCACGACGACATCAACAACAACAACAACAACAACGACAACAACGACAACGACAAAAATAATAAATGAAAATTAGAAATAGTCCATTTTCGTAGATCGCCGAATGGGGAATTTTTTTTCAATGTCGAGGCATAAATTATGCACACATACATTCGTTACATAGATACATAAATACATAAATACAGACAGAATTGTGAAGCATACAAATAATACTACAAGAACGTCATTGCTGCTGACCACTGGATTTTTTTAGGGGCGTGGGGTG